AACATGATAAGGTCAACTGGGAAAGACATACCCTTGAAGGCTTAGCTGTAGAACCTGATCTGCTTAAACTGGTTCGTGAAGCAGCTAAGGTTGGTTGAGATTCACTTCCATCTGATGAAGGAAAAAGTGGAGTTTCAGGAGGAGTGAGAAGCCTGATGACACAGAAAGGTGATAAAAATCAGACAGAAGTAATTTCATGTAATCTTACTAATCTAATTTCATGAAGTAATAATGTAACCATTAAAACAAACAATAACCCTAAAGATGAACTATTCAATCTAACAATTCAAGCATGAACTATTTACGCAAGACCTTGTTGACTTTGAGTTCAGGCTAATGCAAACCCATTTGTTAACTTTAAGTTTACATTAAGCAGAGGAACTTTTCATGCAACCTATTTGTCAAAACAAGAGGATGTTGGTAGTAGTCTGTCTCGAAGTCAAATGCTTCAGGAGACTCAAAAAAAAATAAAAAATGAGTGATGCTTTCTTTGCCTTGTAATTCTGAAGTTACAAGATGGACATAAAATTCCACAAGATTTGATTAACTTAATGTTTGATTGTAGAGTGATGCTTTCTTTGCCTTGTCCTAATCAAAACAGTACATTCAGATATGATCTCTCTGTCTTTAGTGTTAATTAAGAGTCACCAAAAGAACATCTCAGTTGCTGATTCTATATCAGCAAATCAAAGCAAGGAATTATTCTGAATCCAACATGAAAATTACCACAAAAGGAAAAGGGATGTGAAGTAAAATTAATTAAAATCATCCCATGCATAAACAAATCTCACAAAAATGTTTTCTGGGTCATGATCCAGTGGAAGAGATGATTATGAAACATATTTTACCAGTCATAATCGTGCTTTCCACCCTCTGCAGATGACAGCAGATCATCAATACCAGTCCTTCCCACTTTGGCCGATCCAACTGAAAGCCTCCCCAATTTCACCGAAACTAAATCACAATCAAATCATTGTAAAATTGTAATTAGATTAATCCCAAAATCACATCTTAACAAATCCACTGAATTATCATGAACAAATCTTCCGTTTAACCCATCAAACGGCGCCGTTTGGCGGTTAGTCGTGAACAAAATCGAGCATCTAAATCCTCTGGGACAAGATGCCGACAAATCTCGTTGACTCATTCTCCGCTCAGGCCGTTATTATTCAATCAAATGACCGAATTGCCCTCCGAATCAAACAAAGCCACGGAAACATCTCAAGGACATTTCTGTCTGTGAAAAAAATAGAGAGAGACTAGGAAGAGAAATGTACCATCGGAAGACTCGTCGGAGGAAGTTACAGAGAGAGTCCGGCGATTCTTCGAGAAGAGATCCAAGTTGCCCTCGTCGGAGTCTTTAGTCAAATTCAAGCTCAGACCTCGCCGG